TGCGATCGGATCCTTGCGGTTGAGGTCCAGGGGTGCACACTGCGATCCGGAGCTTGCCAGACAAGATCGGCGAAGCAGATTGGCGAAGCAGATTGGCGAAGAAGATTGGCGATGAAGATTGGCGATGAAGGTTGGCGATGAAGATTGGCGAGGAGGTTGGCGATCAAGGAAGCAAGGAGGAAGGGAGGAAGGGAGGAAGGGAGGAAGGGAGGAAGGAAGGAAGGAAGGAAGGAAGGACGGAAGGAAGGAAGGAAGGAAGGAAGAGGAAGAACAACTGTGATAAAATCTAAAAACCCTCACCTGGCAGGTGGGGAAAAACAATATACTAGAACATAAAACCACATAAAACAGTGTATCGTTACGTTCCGGGATTCGTCACATGGCACTTGGTGGACCTGTACGAGGGGGATTCAAAGCTAAGCCAACGACACTCATATGTGGGTTCAGCCTTAGAGTCTCAGATGCTTCCCAACGAATGCGTATTTGTCCTCAGTTTCCCGTTTTTTTTATAACAAGGCTTCTGAGTATTTCTGATTCTGGGTAGCTTCGGACTTTGAATCTTGCGTGACTGCGCGACCCTTCAATCCTTTTGTTTGTAACCTAAATTCACCAGCAGGGCTTTCAGCAAGCCCCTCGAGCCCTCGAGCAGCCAAAGCGACACAAACGAACAATGAAAGTCATCCATCATCATTAACCTACAATAGAATTGGCCCACTAGACACCAGGTCAGCCGACCTGAAGCTATTCTTCTGGGTGAGGATCTTCTCAACGGGGGTGAGGATCTTCTCAAAAGATTCACCTTGGAAGCTGTGATGATAGAGTACACCCAACGCAGAGTTGCTGAGTGGAAGGATCTGAGAACTATCAATCTTCAACACAACATGTATGACAACATGGTAGCATACAAGCATGGGCACACTCGTGGGTAAGTGATGATGAGGATCTTCTCAAAAGAAATGCTGCATGGAGACGGACCAATCCAATTTTTTGCTGAGTTCCTTCCAGTCTGGATGTACTGAAGCTCGTCCTTCCTGTCCTCCGTCTGGGGCTCTTCCTCAGCCGGGTTCTTCCACTGAGGAGCTTCACTACCTCACGTCTCAGACCAAGGTGAAGGTGGACAGGCGCCGCCGGACCGAAGAGTTCCCCACACCGAGACAGAGCGACCGTTAAGGACCGCTTCGGTCGCGACAGATGCGACAGAATCGCATGCAAACATGGGTTGGGAGGATGCAAGAAATGGAGACTGTGAGATACTGTGAGAAAGTGGTAGGTTTGAGGATTCCCCTTGAACGTGTGTGTGTGTCTCTACATTAAGCAATATAGAAATTACATGAAATTACTATATAAAGGTAATTGAGTAGTACGGCAAACATACTGTAAGAATCCGCAGAATCTCTATCATTATCTTTTGTTCGGAAGGATCACTTGAGCCACCGAGAAGGCATTCTCGGGTAGTATTTGGGATGATAGACAGGTACTTGGCAGTAGGAATTGTAAGGCATCCCCTGATCCTACATGCTTTGTTCTTTCCTTGTTGTTTATGATCATCCTGGAGTATACAATTAGATAGAATATGAGCCATCCAATAGTATTACCAGTTTTTTTTGGGAATTTCCAATATTCTATCCAGGATTAATACATATATATATACATATTTACACCACCTGACCCGACCCTAGAACCCCTCTCTCCAAGATTCTCGAATGGTTCATATATTGCAGGGCTAGCTGCAGGGCTCTCAAATGTAGTGATCTGGGACCACATTTGGGCTTTGGGGAGGCTTGCCGTGGTATTTTGGGGTTGTTAAGTTGTTAAGTTGTATGATCCAAGCCTTGCACCCAAAAGAAGATGGGGCTTTGATGGTTTGATGTCAGGGAATCACTCGGTATTTTAATGTTCTATTTTTGGGTCGGATTCATACAAAAGGAGCCTCACGGAAGATGGTCAAAAACACAGCATCACATCATCCACATAGAAAACATGAAAACATTGCAGCAACGGAACAAACATAGAACTGAACGTGTCCATTTCTTTTGATCCATCCATCGACTCGTTCGCGAAAAGCTGAACCGCCAGGTGTGAAAGCCTTTTGGCCCTCGTCGCTCACCACTTCGAGCCGGAGGTGCAGGGTCCAGTGGTTGGTCGGTTCGGTGCTTGGTCGAGGAAGGATACTGTATTTGGGTTCGATTTGGAGGTTCAAGAGCAGAAGGAAATCCAGAAACTCTTCAGTTGCAGGATTTTTCGCAGCTCAACATGGTCCAGATTTTCAGGGAAACTGAACAGAAACTTTTACTCAGCAACTTCTTGGAGTGGATCCATGTTCATTCTGTCCGGAGAGAACATTTTTGCAGGTCGACTAAAAACTATCTTAAAATTCCTTAAAATCGATGGTTTCGGCGAACGCGTGGAATCAGCCATGTCATCGAACGATTTCCAGGTCCGAGTGCCAATTCCTGTCAGCTTTTCGATGTTAGTATTGCTTTGAGACCGCATGACGTTGCTTCACACAAAGACGTGGTTTTTTATGTGTTCGCCCTTTTCAAGGACGAAACCCCTGGATCTGTGCAAGGCGAAACCTTCCAACACCAAGCAACGGAGAGGAACAAACAGAGTGGGAAGGTTATTCATACTGTAGACTCCAAGGTTTTTGTTAAAGCTCTAGATTTGCAAGATGCAAGCCACTTTGACCCGTTGCTGAACCGTTTTGTTTAATAATATAAAGGATTGAACAGCACACACCGACCGAGCCCCGAACGACTGCGGTTTAAGACGTTCGCTCCGGTCCAGCTGGCAACCCAAGCGATCCGCCCGTGAAGACTGAAGCGGCTCCTAGACTGTCGCGTTTCATTGCAGACTTCAGAACAGGCAAGTAGCGTTTAAGTGATTTAGATGGCATCACTCTGAGTTGAAGAAGAGAGGAAACCTCAGAACTCTCAAGGGATTGTGGTTCCAAGCGCGGAACACCCGGCCACTTGAAAGAGGGGCCTGAACGCCGTGGTTCCTGCGCAATGGACCGTGTCGTCTCGCCGGATCAAATGGATCCCCTGGATTCCGCGGATGAGTGTGATGGTAAAGACCCGTCGAGTAGACCTTTCAACGAGACCACCACACTCACCGAGGGTCCGCCAGGCAGGTTGTGCGGTCCGGGTCGGCGAAGCGAACCGACTCCAAGGGTTGGGACAGGGGAGTCAATGTGATGTGACCCATTGGCAGGTGCTTTTCAGACCATTTTGAATACTATAATAACTATAAGATCTATTATAATAAGATCATCCAATCCCAAGGTCCTTTTCCCAAGACTAGTGATTGGGGCAACACGGGGGAACCATCCTGAACTTTCGAGTGTTGCCAGTTCTCAGTGCCCACACAGTAACGCAGGGAATAGGCGCCACTTGGATAGAAAACAACGATTGTGTGCATGATCCCACCCCAGCACCCGCAGACAGTGGATAAGGCTTACATAGCAGGCTTACTGGTTCCGAATGAATCTTGAAGTAAGATTCCGAACCCGCAGCCTATGAAGTACTGTAAGATTCCGAAACCTTAACTTGAACCAGCACCCGCAGCCAGCTGGTTCCTTGAACCTTTATTGAAGCGTCATCCACATGACTGGTAGAGACGACATCGGACACGTCAAAGGATGGACGACCCCGGTTGGTGATGAAATATATTGTTTATTAAGGAGTATCAGGTATTGGTGATGAAATATAGAACTAGTCAACGTGACCTTGTGCAAACATGGATTTTCGCTCAATTTGCGCTGTGACCCCAACCGTTTGCTGAATTGAAACTGCTTGAAGTGCAACAAATATCATATATAAAATATCATATATATATATATACAGTATCATCAAGATATTCCATCTTTCTTCATCACACGCCTGTGAAAAAACAATCCATCGCCCACATGTCCATCACATAATCACCACATGTCCACACCGGATGCCGCCTGGATCCGGACCCGAGCTCGCAGGCTCCGCTTCTGTGGACTTGGTCCGAGCCGTGGACGTCGCCAAGGAGCTGAAGGCGATGGTCGCTCTGGTCGATCGCGTCCGCGCTTCCGGCGTTGGATCGCTCTGGAGTCACCGATGCTGTTGGAGTCACCGATGCTGTTGGAGTCTTATCCAGTGG